CCCCCCCCAGCCCCATCACCCCCGGTACCTCCTTTCTCCCGACACTCCAAAATCCATCCCGCTATTGCCGGAGAGACGGTGCGGTTGTTTTGGTGACTGGGAAACGGGGAAAAAGAAGGGGGGAGTAGGAGGGCGAAGGGGGGAAGCTGAAAAGACATGTTGGTGGAAGAGCAATTTGCATGAAAAATAGGGACGGATGATTAGGGACCCAGGCAGGGAATTTTGATTGCCCCAGAATTAAAAGACGCATCCTGCAAAATCAGTGGCGAGACCAGGTGAATTGTATTGTGGCGTTTTCTTTGTAAAGCCGATGTTTTGTATTTTGTTTTAAAAGTAGGAGTAATAATAATAAAAAGGTATTTTCGCTGGCTCTGCCTCCATCAGAAGGCAAATGTTTTGCAGTGAATGCGGTGCCAGCTGTATTTCATACATTAGTATATAATTCTTGTTAATTAGCAATAATTTACGTTAAGAGCATAGAAAATGTTGAGGTTACAGGTTTTATATCTGTACATTTGATCATCTTGTTATTTTCAAGAACTTTGCCTCCTATAAAATTAATTAGGTGAAATGTGGAGGTGTAATCAGCAACCTCTGAATTACCACTTCATTTCCTGGTTTTGATTGTAAATCAGCCCAGTCCGTACAGACTTTAGCAAAGTCTATTTTTGTTTAGCGCTACTTTTAACTGTCTGGTGTCGAAGCACCGGGTTACCTTCCCCTGCTAAATAATACTGACAGCGTCAGAAAGAAATCAGGCCGCGGGAAAACGTTATAATTGAGTAATGATTATGCAGAGCTCCTCACTAAGCCAGTTGTAAGGGGAATACGGGGTATTTTGCGTCTTTTGCTGCGGAGAGTTGGTGAGCTAGAAGTTAGATTTGCAAAATACCTTTGTCTGCGGCGTGCAGCGAGCTACTGGTGGAATTAGTCCTGCAATAATTTACTCCCTCGGTCCGAACACAAGGAACGGCAGGGGAGAAAAACACCATGCCCAGCAATCCCGCAGAAACACCCTGCTCCTCTCCCGGCTTCCCGAGGAGTGTGAAATGCATGTTGTGTGTCTTATCTTGTCGGTCTGTAAGTTTAGAAGAAAACCCCAGCGATTAAGACATTGTTTTTATTAATACGAATGTAACCTTCATATTCCTGTGGTTGACCTTACGTTAAATTAGAAGTAGTACTAGAGGCAAGAAATGATGGACTGGATCCCTGTGTCCTAGTTGGAGCTGAGGTACGGCGAGGTAGTGTGCTCTTTCAATATTATTTTACGCAGCACAACTGGGAGCTACTCCAGATCTTCCTCCTCAATATTCAGCCTAGGTAGGGTTGAAATAAATTTAACCTGAGTTCACTGGATTTTTGCACTTTATCAAAATCAGTTCCAATATCGTGCAGTCAAATTAAAATCTATTTTTTGATTCTCTGTGGCTTTAAGTTCATTAAATGTGAAATTGGCAGCCAGCTAAAGAAGGTCAGGCTGATTAACTGTTTAGGAGTTGTATTCTGTCTCGCTTGTGTTACCTGGCAGGCTTTTGAGGTGGGTTGTATGTGTAGTACCCTCTCCTCCTGCTCGCTGCTGTTAGCGTGCGTGCTGTATTGTGCAGGTAGAGGGATACCAACACGCTGCTGGTATTTATTTTTTGTTTCTCGTAAAAGGCAATAGTGATGGAGACAGCACACAGATTGCCAAGGTATTTCTCTGTAAACTTAACCAAAAAAAAAAAACCCAAACAGAAAAGAGAGCTGCGTCTGCCTGGTTAGAGCATCCACTGACAATTCTGTGAGCAGAAATAGCCTCATAATGAAGCTTTTTGGAGCTCATTCAGGAAATTTGTCAACTTTGACAACATTAGGCAAGGTATTTTGAGTTTAAAGAAGGCACTTCTCACTGTTGCAAGGAAATGTGGCAGTCGCTTGGCCACGCTGATTTTTAGATGCTGAGGGCCACCAGTGCTAACACGTTCAAGATAATTTAGGCATTCCTTTATTTCAGGATGAAAAAGGAAAAATGAGTAATTGCCTTGTTTCCTTAAGTACTAAAAAATAACCCATCTAGCTAGAATCTCTGTGTGGAATTGGTAGTGAATTTGATATTTATTTGAATCCTGAGGAGCAGCTGAAAAGTGAGGGGTGTCTCCCACCGCCCCACAGGCATTGCTGCTGCACTTGCTTTTATCATTTTGGTTTCTGCCATTTATTTATTTATTTATTTGTCTCGTCCCCACCCTCCCCCGTGAATAACTCCTGGCTTTCCAATTTTTAAATTGGAAGCCACAAACGGGCTGATAGGGATAGTGACACAAACACATACGTCTAGGTATGCACGTGCATTAGAAGGGCTGTATGTGCCGTGGGTCGGTGCCTGGATGTATGCGGCCACGCGGTGTGGCTCTCCCTCTCGTTTCTTTTACACACGCACATGCTACCTGCGCGGCCTGTATAAGGGATATGCAATATCCGTATGTTGAAACACCTTTTGTCTGCACCCACACCCGCGTAGTTCAGACTTGTGAATTTTAGAAAGTAGGTCTGGCTGGTGGAAAATACACACCCATGTGTGTGAGAGAGCGCGTGCAGTGCTTTTAGCCTTGAATTCATATACATAAATAATACATCCGGCAATAAAACACCATATTCGCTTCTCTTTGTAGTACCACAGAGTTTTGCAGTGTATTCTTTCAGACTATTAATTTAATTTTACCACCGAATCGTTGAATCGAGTCAGAAATTTGTCCTCACGTAGGAACACAGAGACAGTTGCAGTGCTCGCTCTCGGAGTTCTGCATGCTACAGCTGCTTCTGCAAAATCGCTTTCCCTGTAACTGATGAATTCGTCTCCTTGCTGCCGTGCTAACAGCCGTGTTGCACGGGTTTAGTTGAGGGGGGAGCAGGCGGACGATGTAAGCAGGGTGTAATATTCATGAAAAGGGGGCTCGGCGCGGCGCGTTCCTCCCCCCCTACTCCCCCCTCATACCCCATTCCTTTCCCCTAGAGCTCTAATGATTCTCCTTTTGTTTCTCAAACTGCAGCCGAACCTCTTGAAGCCATTCTCACTGATGACGAACCTGAACATGGCACATTGGGAGCTCCGGAAGGGGACCACGACCTCCTCACTTGTGGCCAGTGTCAGATGAACTTCCCGTTGGGGGACATTCTTATTTTTATTGAGCACAAACGGAAACAATGCAATGGCAGTCTCTGCTTAGAGAAGGCTGTGGATAAGCCACCTTCACCCTCACCAAGTGAGCTGAAAAAAGCATCCAATCCCGTGGAGGTTGGCATCCAGGTTACGCCAGAGGATGACGATTGTTTATCAACGTCATCTAGAGGAATTTGCCCTAAACAGGAACATATAGCAGGTAAATTAAAAGCAAGGAGAAGTGTTTGCGAGTTTATTTCCGTTTCAGTTGCAACGTAGCATGTTCGCAGTTGTAAACTGCTGTGTCTGTCTCTCTGTTCTGCTCGCCGTGACGGCCGATGTGTTAAATACCCTGCCTTCGGTTAGTGGTGAGCGCACGACCGGTATTTCCCAGTGCCTGCGCAGAGGCAGGATCAACAGGCACGTGCCGTGCCAGCCGCTATTTCTAACGGTATTGTTTGAGGCTGCTCTCGTGATTTGCCTGTATTGTAGTCACCGTCTCCCGGTGTCTCGCCTGCCGCCGTAGCGCTGCAGGAGGAGATTTCAGAGCCTGCCGCGCGATAGAGCGAGGAGCTTTTGAGTCTTTGGCAAAGTCAGGGGTGAAAGAGTTAACTGAGCATCAGCCAGCCTTGGTTCCATGTTGGCTGTCAGCGTATGGACTGTAATTAAACACAGCCCCATGGCAAAGTGACACCACCGACCTTGACTTTAAGATGCCATTTTCGACTGGCCAGGCCAGAGTAGAGAGGGCAGTTGCTGAAGCGCACAGACATGCTTATTCGAAAAGTTTAAGGGCATGTTGGAAATTTCAAAAGGTTGGTTTGACAGGAAAGGCCGCTCTCTGCAGCCTGCCTCCTCAGCCAAATGATAAATGCTTCGCTGTGCTCTCTCTTGTCTCTGATGTGGTTTTGACAGATGTATCTTGATTTTGTTTGCGGTTTACACAACCACATGTCAGCCGTACAAATGTCCAAGGCAGAGTTCTGTTTTGTGCAACAAACAATATGAAATGTAATTTAAAAAAAAAAGGATAAATAATTCCATTTCTTAGCATAATTTTTTTTTTCTTGAACCGGAAAGCCATTCGCCGTGCAGATATTTTCACAGATGAGGTTAAAAAAATAGTGTGCGCTATGTGAAAGAAAATCACAGAGCCCTGGGAGTGTAACAAGGCACGCTTTGCTTTTACAATCTTGCTAGTAAACAAGAGTACTACCCATTTGCAGTGAGTGTTGCAAATCACTCCAAACCGCGCCAATACTACCAGTCGGAAAAGGCGAGACCGCAGCATATCGGCACCAACAAATGCCTGAACCAGTTTCAAACCCCGCTTCCCAGTGATGTTTGGGATGTGGCACTGCCGGTACCTCTCTTTGGGCAGCCCACAGGACCGTTCGGGGTTGTCAGAGGCGCAGTACATCATCAGATGATGTGCTAGAGCTTGTCTTGGGCTCGCTTTGGCCACAGAGTTAAACCATAATAGGGCGGTAGGCACTGGGAGTTCCAGCGCAATACTCCAGCAGCCTCCTGGCCTCCAAACCGGCCGGCAAATCACGCTGGAGAGATGAAGTTTTGAAGGTTTTGCAGTGGCAGCAAATATGTGTCGGTGCACGTGTATCTGTCTGTGCACACGTATGTATGCAAAGCCTTTGCGTAGACGTGCATACGTAATGTGAATGAACGTATACTATTTCTGCAGAGTAATAGGTCTTACTTTGAATACATGTATATATTTATGTTTAAGAGGAAACGGAGGCTCAGCTACTGCTAAGCTACATTTTGAAAGAGACTTAAAAAACCTAATAATTCTGCATATGGCACTTCCTGGCCATGGATGTTAAAAGGTGTTTTTTTTTTTCCCAGAGTGGTAGAGGGCAGTGCCCATTTCCATGTGCTGCCTGCGATCTGACGGAAAACGAGCAGAAGCGTAGGGCATGATTAATGAAGCGGGAGCCTGGCGGAAGGGATTTGTAGTCTTCCGAGCTCTGGAGCCATACTAAATCACCAAATATGGAGGAGCGGCGGTATGATGTAACGCTGTATTTACGTACGGCGCCGCTCTGTTGAAAAGACAAAACACAGTATCTGTCAAGCAAGAATTAAACCCGTTCTCCTCTCCGTGGTCCCAAATAGGTCCCTCAGCCAGAGGGACGGCCACTCCAGGGGGATTCTGCATGAGGGGAAACTCCTCGGCTGAGGGTTTTGCTCTGCCACTCGTTCGGTGCGGGAGACTCGGCGTGCCAAATCACGCTTTCGTGTGGTGCGGGTGACGTGAAGCGAGCAGGATTTGGCCTCGTGCGATGTCACGGGGCTGTTAATTCAGAAAAGGCTGTGGTTTTAACTGACTTTAAATGGTTGGGTGAGCGGAGGGCAATGGGTAAGGAGAGTTGGACATCGGCAGGGGCCTGATCCTGCTGGCTCCTGCGTGTAAGGATGGCTTCTGCTGTGCAGGTGGTCCGGCCTGGGAGCGGGCTCGTGGTGCACCCCACGAGCGCTGCTGCGAGCAGAGACCGAGCTGCAATTGTCCAGGTATCTCCCAGCCCCAGTTTTCTGTGTGGTAGCACCCAGCCCTGCCCGCGGACGGGAGGTCCAAGAGCACAGGTCTTCTGCTGCGCCTCCCCATCCAGGACAGAGCCGATGGGTGCTAGGGTCCCCTGGTTATTCCCGGTGGTGGGAAGTGCAGCTGGGCTGTGGGAGGGGGGAAGGAGCACCAGGGTCTTGCACTGTCCCTCCCCTTTGTGATTTCGTCTCCCCTTTCACTTGGATGAGTTTACCCCCCTCGTATTCCAAAGAGGTGTGGCAATAGCTGGAGTGACCTGCGGACAGGACTTTGTGAGGTCCAGAAGTAAAATTACCAGTAAGGGTCTTGGAATGAGCTGTGGAGTTCAGGTTTCTGGAAGGCCCCTGCAGTGAACCTCAGGCTCTTTGAATTCTGACATTTTATATCTGATTTCTGTGCAAGGATGCAAAATGCAAAAAGATATGAGTGTGTAATTAAGGGAAAAAAAAAAAGGACGGAGGCTGCCTTTAGGAAAATATGCAGGACTTGAGTGAACTGATTCTTTCTGGTAAGAGACCAGTAAATATGTATTTAGTAGCAATGTAAAAAAATCCCCGATTAGTTGTTAGGCTGCAAGAGGTGTCACAGGTTAGCTCTGGATGCAGGATGCAACTGTCTGCAGTTTTGTAGCCAGTAAGTTGGTGTGTTAGAGTAAAAGATCATCGTAAGATAAGTAATGGTTAAGGATCAGCTCGTCTAAAGACAAGGAAGGAGGCAGCGAGTCATTCAAATGCAGGGAGAAATTATGTCTATTTTAGCCGATAGGCTGCTCTTTATCCTCACCATTTTCCAGAGACGGGGCTGATTACAAGAGCCTCTGTCTGTGTGTGTGTGTGCAACCTGTGCAGTAGCTGTGAGATCCATATAGGTGCAGGCATGCGTACCTGTCTCTTCCATGTGGGTGTCTGCCTGCGCCTAGCTTTGACTTGCTATAAAATTTTGAGTGATGCTGATCCAGCGCTATAGCTGAAATGTCGTAAATTTAACTGAAAATTAATAGGATATGTTGTGTGGGTCCAATGAGGCAGCTTTCATCAATATGTATGTCAAAGCCTCACCACCAGATACCGGCAGCCCGTGATTTGCAGTGAGTGCTACGGCAGGGCTTTAGTTATCCGCTCTCATATTTTACAATAGGGGGAAATATTAACTGAAGTATCTAGAGATCAGTGAATGTAAAATTGCTGTTCACTTATTGAAAAGGCTGAAGAAATATTTATTGTCTGCCGCTGTCAGGTTTTAGCGGTTTGTTTGTTGAATATATAAATCCGGGGGAATTAATGAAAGGTTGTTTTTTGGGCGAGGAAGGAGCTTAAATGTTACTTGGAGGCAGTTGGAGGAACACTTTGGAGTGCTGCTGCATATTCCCCTTTATAATGCCGAGTGTGTATCTGCGGATGCCGTATTTACTGTACAAAGAGGGGAGGTGGAGGGGAGGTCATTTTTACTGCTTGAATCCTTTATTCTCAGACTGCTTGTGGCATTCAAATAAAATACATGGAAAAATAACATAAGAAAAACCTCTGTCTGCAGTAATCGGGGGAAGGTGGACATAATGTGGTACTAAATTTTAGATCAAGTACATTTGATTATTACAGTTCTCAGGAGGTAATGTCTTTGAGTAGTCATTACACCACAGAAATTTTCTTGGGCTGTTATTAGTAGTTGCCATTATAATTCTGTAGGTTGTAAATTGCCATTCCGTATTGTTTTGTTTTGTTCCGGAGACAAAAAAATATTGCTGTCTGCATTGAATAGTTAGCATTGCATCTGGACATTAAGATGAAAGCTTTAAAAAAAGGTGTGCGCGGGGGGAAAGGAATATGGAAATATTTTGGAGTCAAATTCTGTCTGCTTTCCCCATATAAAGAAACAGAGGGCCCAGGCTGGGTAAAACAGTCGCAGGCAGGAAAAATAGTGAGGGCACTACCCAAAGGCTCCCGCTCCTGAGATTCGGTGCCCTGTGTACAAGCTGTATTTGTAAATAAGACAGAGAAAGGTTGTGAACCGGCAGCTTGGCTGTTTTGTCAAAGTACAATGTCAGAGAAACTCTTTCTAAGACAAATTGTAAATAGAAGTGTCACGATGATTGCATGATTGAGCTCCAGAAGTGTCTTGCAATTGTTGGCATTGTCAGAAGACTTTTGAAAGCTTAATTAAAGGCGGTGGCCTCTGCGGCTGTGAAATTTACTTCTCGGGGGGAAAAATGTAAAAAATGTGGGGGATCAAAAAGTTGCTCTAATGCTACTCGCGCAGGGATACAGGGAAGAGTCAATAGTTTCTGAGCTTTCCCTGTTGCCTTTTATAAATAACATTTTTTGAAGAAGCAAACACGTGACACCAATATCATCCTTTGTACGAGGTAAAGATTGCGTTAGTTTTCCTATTCCCTGCTGTTACAGGCAGTTAATGTAAAAATAGCTCTTTATTGGAAACACAAATACGAGTTCACTTCAAGCACAGAAGCAGAGTAGAAAGTTTTCCTCTGCCTCGGCGTGATCCTTCCAGGGAAGCATCAGAGTGTTGGCAGTTCCCTGAATCTTTCTGGTTTTTTGTTTCCTGCAAATCAGATCTTCTGGTTTAGAGGACGAGAAACGCGTTTTGCATTCTTTCTCCTATTGTATGGGACATTTAATTGTGGAGCTCACCGTGGGCTGAAG